GGCATCTCAAACTGCCGCGTTTGCTCACTCCGGACAACAAGCGCAACCGTGAAACCACTTCAGAGCAGTGTTTGACGGTGTTTAAGCGCAATCCGAAGGAGTTTCTGCGTCGTTTCGTGACCGTCGACGAAACATGGATCCACTGGTACACACCAGAGACCAAGGAACAGTCGAAACAGTGGACTTCACCCGGCGAACGTGCTCCGAAGAAGGCGAAGACTGTCCTATCGGCCGGATAGGTGATGGCCACCGTTTTCTGGGATTCACAAGGTGTGATCTACATCGACTACCTGGAGAAGGGCAAAACTGTCACAGGGCTGTACTATGCCGAATTATTGGGCCGATTCAACGCCGAATTGCAGAAAAAACGGCCCCATTTGGCGAAGAAAAAAGTGCTTTTCCATCATGACAACGCACCGGCTCACACCTCCGCCCTCGCCACGGTCAAATTGGTCGAATTGGGCTACGAACTGCTGCCCCATCCACCGTATTCTCCAGATTTGGCCCCGTGCGACTTCTTTTTGTTTCCAAACTTGAAAAAGTCACTCGCCGGGCAGAAATTTGAGTCGAATGAGGTGGTCATCGCCGCCACGGAGGCCTACTTTGCAGACCTCGAGAAAACATATTTTTCAGACGGGTTAAAGAAGTTGGAGCATCGCTGGGTCAAGTGTATCGAGCTAAAAGGAGACTATGTTGAGAAATGAATCGCCACTTTTCCAAAATTTTCGTTTTTCTTTTGTAGGCTAAGTACTTATCGGACCACCCTCGTAGTCTTTCCAACTGTACGTTAGTCATTGCACCCATGGGTAATTTTAGTGTCTCTTTGACGTTTTTTTTCTTTTTTCTGCAGTGCCTTTCCCGCGCTTGTACGGAGCAAGATAGATTCCGCGATCTTTCATAGCGCGACCTTCCATAGCACGATGATGACGTTTTAATTCTTCCAGCTGACGTTGCGCGGCTTTACCATCATTCACCGCTTTTGCGACACCCGCCGCTCCACTGACTAGTGAACCGAGAACTCCCAGTAATGGTAGAACTGGTAAAATACCACCCCGTTTTGCTATCGAAAGTGCTCGTTTTCGGATTGCTTTCTTGGACGACTTCTTTTTCTTCATGCCCATGCCGATTTTCGTTTCGACTTTCATGGCAGCCCAAACGACGGCAGCAGCCGCTCTCTCGCCTAGAGTTGAATCTTTCGAAGTTATGCGTTCCCACGCTTTTACAGCGAGAATCTTATCCGCCGCGTGCCGATCAGCGGGATTGTTGCTACGTAAATAGGTTATATCGTGTTCACGACACGCTGCGTTCAATGAATTAATGCCTCGATCGCCTCTGGCCAGTCGTTTTGCCAAGCGAGTTCTAGGACCACAAAATTGATATCCGGGAATGTGTAGTTCGATAGGAAGCGCATTTATCGCGCGATTCAATAGACCACTGCCGACTTTGACTTTTGTCGATGGCATTCACTACAGTCCCGGGTCAGCGGTGCCGGACCGTCGATATGCGTTCGCTGCCACGGACGATTGTAATGTTCCAAACACCGACGATACTGCTGAACCTCTGGATCAACTTTTATATGTTCAGGGAGTCTGCCCCATAAGTCGTCAATATACTTTGCAAAATCGCGTAACAAAACAATCCTCGGTATGTATTTCAACTGTTCGGAGGTTAGCTCTCGAATATCATGAGTATCTGTCAGAAGAAGCAACATTTCCTAAACTGAGCGTTTCCAAGATCGACGTGTCTATATATAGTTCAATCGCAACGATCCGTTAACATAATCAATTTTGTGACTCGTGGGGGAAACATGCGGTTCGTGAAGCAACTGACGTCGATACGTGTGACAAATTTCGACAATAGAACGCAATCAATGATTGAGCAAGAGATGCGCAGGCCTCTGCAAGCATGGAAACATGCTTCCGAACACCATACGCGGCATCATATGCGGCTCTCGAATTGCGGCAAGACAAATGTTCTCATCAGCTTGCTAGAAAGTCTGCACGGTCTGCGTTTCGAGAACTTGTACGTGTACTCAAAATCTTTGCAACAACTTAAATATCGCTTGGAAAATTTGTTGAAACCGATAGATGGAATTGGATACTTTACATTCTCCGATAATAGCGACGTTATTCCAACGACCGAAGCGCTCAAAAATTCCATTTTTATCTTTGACGATGTGGCATGTGACAAGCAAGATACGATAAGAGAATACTTTGCCATTGGTCATCATTCGAACGTTGACTGTTTCTATCTCTGTCAGACGTACGCAAAAATACCCAAGCATCTTATATGGGACAATGCAAATTTTCTAATTCTCTTTAAACAGGATGGTACCAACTTGAAACATGTGTACAATGATCATGTGAACACCGACATGTCATATGAGGATTTCAGTGCATTGTGTCGCAAATGTTGGCAGCATAAATATGGTTTCACAGTGATTGATAAGGACAGCTCAATGACCAACGGACGATACAGAAAAGGATTTAATGACTTTGCTGTGCTGTGAGATGCTAAATCGTCGTTGCAACCTCAACGTGGTAACATCTTCAATGTCCACAAGACAAACATATCAATGATGAATAGTAACGTGAAGATCATGCATCATGAAAAGGTAGCGGAAGAGATTGCGAAAACGAACGAATCGATCCGCAAGAAGTATCGCGCTTTGAAAACCGGTAGAATTGTTGAAAATGCTGCATTGGAGAGACACTTTAAACTTATTATTGAACCTCTTAAGCAAATCGCGGGAAGCAGCGCTAATGTGGAAAGTAACGTTGATGTTAAAACTGAGCCACTATCAATGAGTACAAGCGAAGAAACAAAGAGTGTAATATTAAAACCTGAAAAAAAGATAAAGCATAAGGTAAAACTTTCACCAGCCGCATTGACTCCGCTGAAACGGAAACTATTCAAAGATCCTTCGATAGATCCTACATCGACGGGAGCTCTACAACATGAGGAACCACATGAATCATCACTGTAGATCGACAATCTACTCACTGATGATGATGATGAGAATATTTCCGAAACCTCCGATGAACCGGTAGTGACATCCGTTAGACGTCAGTTGCGAACGTACAAAGGACAACAAACTTTACATGATTATTTTAGTCCGCTGGGTCAAAAATATATGGGAGCTGTGCTAAGTAGTGGAAAAAATAACACCATAGATTATGTTTACGGCGTACGTCTTAGTAACGATGGAGCGATGCTCGGTGATAAACGTGTCGATGTGAACAGAGACGATAATATAATCATGGGCGAATAGGATACATTGGAACACCCGGTCTTTACGAGCTAATATTCAAAAGAATCCCCTACGATTCTGTGTACACCGAGGCTGATATGCAAAAATACAAAAGTATACTATTGGCGACGAATGCTTAGAGACGCGGGTACCTCCCGCAAAATCCGATACTCGGTAACAAGGGGCACAAATATAAACATATAATCGCGCCCCTAGTATCACATGCGTCGAGCGATAAAGTGGTCGGAAAAGGTTTATACGCATCGCAAGCTATGATGACCTTAAATGACAATAATATCGATTACGTGCATTGGGATGATCCCAACGAGCTGGTGGATCGTCTGCGATTGCTTGACGCTTCACGCCAAGCCGGTAACAACGCTCATGACAACGAAATTTTATCGATTATCGAAGAACTCCGCGAAGCTGGTCTTATTATAAATTAAACAGCGCTGCACTGACACGAGTCAGTCGGTCAGTCAGTCAGTCAGCCAGTCGGTACAGCATCGGCACAACTTGCTCCGAAATGTCGACGCATAAGTTTGGAGTGTTGCCAGACAGCAATAGTTCTCCGATCGAAGCGCATCAATGGAATGAACACGTTGAAAATTACATACATGAAAATGCCTTTTGTTTAAACACTGCCAAAATTTTTGACGCAAAGTCGCGCAAAATAAAACATGTAGCGGAACCACTGAAGCCGACAGTGATGTTGCAACCAACCAATACGTGGAAGAATGTGTTGCAGGTGTGAGATATCATTTAAACAACGTTGCAACCAAACGATATATACATGAAAATGCCCTTTGTCTAACCGCCAATAGTAAAGGTCGTGATGGCAAATGTTTCGATGCAAAAATGCACGCGATACATAATCTACCGCAGCCGGAAGCCTTCAATGACTCTGCGCACAAATATTATGTGGATGAGAGTATAAAGTCTGTAAAACTTCTGTTGCATGAAAATAACGTTGAGAAGAAGCAGTATATCGATGAGAATATAAATGCTGTAAAGCTTCTACTGCATGAGAGTAATGTTGAGAAGAAGCAGTATGTAGATGAGAATGTTAAAAAATTGTAGGATTGGCTGGAAGACCGAAAGAGAAACATACAGAACATAAATAGCATTCATGAGAGCATAGACCAAATTTTAGACTGGACACGCTCAGAGATAAAGAAATCAAGGGAAATATAAAAGTAGAATATTACAGTTAAATTGACATATAGTATCGACATAAGCGAGAGACGGATCATCACAAGCTGCAATGGCGAAGCAATCATCAAATTTTAATAAAAAGAAGAAAAGTTCAGAGAAGCAGCTCATCGGTAACGAAAAGCATCGGTTTGTGGAGGAGTTGGACGCTCCAGCGAAAAGATATTTTCCCCGTAGACGCGTCATAGTGCGCGGATACGATGATCTTTGGCAAGCTGACTTGGTAGAAATGCGTCCTTACTCGCGATTCAATAGAGGCTACCACTATATACTCACTATTATCGATGTGTTGAGCAAATATGCGTGGGCTGTACCGATGAAGAGCAAGAGCAGTAAAGAAGCAGTCGAGGTATTCGCCAGGATATTTCAAGAATCTGGAAGATGTCCGAAAAATTTTCAAACGGACCAGGGAAAAGAATTTTATAATCTGCAGAAACTCCTTAAAAAACACGGTATCAATCATTATTCTACGTACTCGGTAATGAAGGCGTCTGTTGTAGGACGATTCAATCGCACGTTAAAGAACGACATGTAAAAAATGTCTACGTTGAATGGAACATACAAATGGATCGACTCGTTACCGCGCCTTATCGCGGAGTACAACATACGGAAACATCGAACTATCGGCATGTGTCCTATCGACGTGACACCCGAGATCGTCGATAAGCTCCTGCACACAGTCTACAACAATGTAAAGATCGCAGTGCCTGCGAGATTCAAAGTGGGTGATCTGGTATGCGTGAGCAAATTCAAAACCATCTTTGAAAAAGGCTATACACCGAATTGGACAACCGAAGTGTTTAAAATCACTAAAGTGCAGAAAACTAATCCAGCGACCTATCTGTTTGAGAATTCTCGCGGGAAGTCTATTGCCGGAGGATTTTACGAATACGAACTGTATTGCGCTTCTAATCCTGACGTTTATCTCGTGGAAAAGGTGTTGCGAAAAAGCGGCGACGAGGTTTTAATGAAATGGTTGGGATTTGACGACTCGCACAACTTTTGGATACACAAAGAAAATGTATTGTAACCAATTCTTTGTTATAAACATTTTTTATTACAATGTCCTATTATAAACAGCTTGTAATAAACAATCTTTTTATTATAGTTAACAATATTTCTTACAAACAAATATATGTATAATGATCGCTTTTCATTTTACAATATACATGTATGTACAATGATCGCTTTTTAGTTTACAATTGTATCCTATAATGTCCCCATGGTAAAGTGTCTGTTGAGTCTGGTACGATATACCGCTTGTCATTATACGGACTCAGAGCAGTTTTCAGTTCGGACACGGTGTAGACTTTGTGCATTTTAGATCGTATGCATGACTGACGACGTTGCTTTTCGACCTCGTCTCTCAGACACTGCATATCATTAAACGTTATAGTTCGCGCTACGACGTTGGTCTTGACATCTTTCGCCTTCTTCGTGTTATTTTTGCTGTTTACTTTAACGCGTACATCTTTGCTCTGAGTCCGACGAATTCCGTCATAATCGCTCCGTTATTTTCATCTTTCATCAGACCCGGTACCTTCTTGTTGGCAAGCGGTATACCGTACGCGTTATCAGCGGGATAATCACTCGTATCAAACTTAGAAATATCGCGTTTCATGTGCTTGAAAATATCATCGCATTGGATATGGTAGATTAAACTGTCAGTATCGGTGTACATTACTTTGCATCTGTTCTGATACAGGGGAGACATGTACTCGTGATGAAATTCGTACAAGTAGGTCTTGGATATGTCAAGGATACACATACCCACATAGATCGGTTTGTTGAATTTCACCTCGAGTTTACGTAGCTCAACGGCGATTAAATTTTCCGAAAAGACACTTCTGCTATGAAAATTTGGGCTAGTTCTTCAAGTTCTTTGACAAACCACGAGATGCAATCCGGATCGCGACGACATCGATACGCGGATAAAGACTCGTTGTAGGAACATCGCACGTAATACGCTATACTAAATACGTTATGATGTTGATACGCATACGAACTCGTTTGTTTTTCCCTCGGTGCCTTCTCCAGGATGCATTCCAAGTCGACGTAAACTACAAACGGGACCCGCTCTTTCCTGCAGTAGTTGGTGAAGCTGAGCCATTTGTTATCATCGTTTGGCAAGGTGATGGCGCAGTTATTCATTTTTTCACAGTCGACGGTTTGGCTCTCCAGCTTCTCGCTCGAACTGAAGTAATGCAAACATCTGGAAAAACATTATTTGTTATTAGTATATGTTACGTTATTTATTATATATTGCGTTCTTAGTGTATACTTACCGGTCGCAAATACGTTTCTTGTGCTCCTTTTTGCTCAGCTACGAACTGACGAGTCGGGACAAATTCTTGATCCACGCGAAGTGTCCAGCGTTGTCATCATCTCGCGGATCTGGGATATGCAGCAGGTTGACATGCTTCTCCATTTTTTGTTCCGTGAGACCTATGGGCATGACCACGTTTCCTTTTTTCTTTGTCCCGTTGTTATATCTCTTCTCCACACTATGAATGTTGATCAAGATATTGTTCAACCGTTCAAACTTTTTAATTTGGTTTATGCGCATTGGAAATTCAATGTCGTGCATATTCAACACCGATGTATAGTGTGGGTACGAAGATTGACGATCTGCGTGTTTGTCAGCTGGACATAACGCTGCAACCACCGCCCACGCGAAACATGCATTGTCCTTGGATTGCATACTGATCACAGCTCGCTTCATTTTTATTTCGCGCGGTAATTCAATGCGACATCCCGCACTCATCGGTTTGTACTTGTTAACGTTAACGGTCAGATCGAGTATGCGTGAGAGTGCCCACCCGCTATCTCGTTCCTGAAATTCTTCCAAGGACGCTAAGGTGGATTCGATAACACGCATCGCGAACCAATTGTCTAGATCAGATGTGGAAAAAAGTTCAACGTTCCTCTTATTGATGCTCTTGTTTGCACGTTTATCACCCGCCACAAATTCACCGTTGAACACAGTATTCACTTTTACGCTACCGTGTCTCTTCATAACGCGTCGCACATGCTCGAGCACGGTATTCTTCACATCTTGGAGAAATCGAAGAGGGTCGATATATTCTGTATTTACAATCGCCTCGGTTGATATGCGACTATTGAACGCTGTATCGATTTGTCGCCAAAAAAGTGTTGAATGTCCGGCTCCTGCGTATACGAAACGTCTGCGCAAAGTATTTTTTAAACCCTCGAGTTGCGCTATACGAGCAACCATCGAGTGTGCTGAACTAACCGATAGTCGTGGTTGTTTGGCTCGGCTATGCCGTTCCAACGACTCGAGACACTCGTCGTACTTTTGTTCCCATGCGAGGTATTCGTCTAGCGAGCCTAATCGAGCGGCCTGATTCTGCAGCTCGCGTTCTACGGATGATAATGATGATGATTCTACCATTTTTCTAGCAAACGTTGTAAACACACTGTAACTGCGCGCTCTGTTCGTCTTTGACTATAGAATATTCTTTGAACTTTTTATAGCCCTTTATTCTTCCAAAAATACATGCCGTTATCAAAATTCAGGAAACTTCCTCGATGAACTTTTAAACATATTCTTGGGTCTTAAACTCATATCGACTCGTTGTGGACTTTGCCTAAATGCATGCCTTTCTGTATCTGATACAATAATAGGCTTATAGACCTATGATTTGGTATCAGCGTCCACTCTGTTCGTCTTCGACTAAACTATAGAATGTTCTGCTTTGAACTTTTTATAGCTCTTCTGTCTTTCACATGCGCACACGCACGCACGCACACATATCGTTATCACATTCTTCCTGCTTCTTTTTATCTTGTATAGTGTATAGGATGAAGTTTTTGTACCGTATATAAGAATTCTGTTTTAAATATGTCATATTAGTGCATACATATTGGATACAGATTGCATGGTGTTATTTGGTAGACGGGATTTCTACAGTTTGAACAAAATACACCATTAATCACATCGTGTCTTTCGATAATGTCACTGCAAATCACGCACTGCAAATATTTCTGTAACTGTATCGCGGACACCATCAAAAAAACATGATGCACAGAACCGTAGATTGTCTCCAAAATTATATGAAAAATAAATGCAACACATTTGTTTGGCCATTCAAAGTATTAATTTCTGAAACTTCCAATTTCTTCACTTTTTCATTCATTAATTGATTACTATTGTCACTATCATAATTACTATCATCCGTGAGTATATGATTTATATCTTCTTCGTCTTCTATTTCTTCGTTTTCTATTTCTTCGTCTTCTACTTCTTCATGCTTTATGTTTTTGCAATCCATACTAAAAGAGCTCTGACTGGGAAATACACACAAAATTAAATCTATATGCTTCACTTTTGCCACTCTTCTCGTTATTATTTGAAGAATCAGCGACGACACCTTTTTAATACTTTCTTCGATATTACTCAAACACGGGCCACAATAAGCGATTGATGCTGGGGGCGTGGGTAGCATCTTCGCTCGTTCGCTTCTATAGTCTAGTCCCTCATTTTAAACAATCTTCGATAAATAACTCCCGGAAAAACCTAGCCAAAAATAGTCATATCTTTACATGATGCAGCACTAAGTGCTTCACAGGATGCACCCTATGCTAAGATATGCATACCTTTCTTTATCTAATACCACAATAGTACTTGTAGACCTACGATTTGGTATCAGCAGTCTGGGGGGGTCGACGACTGACAAAAATATTTTGGTCAAAATGTGATATTGTAATACACAGCACCATTATATTGCAGCGTTTACAAATTGTAATAAAAGTATAAATATTACGCATTTCTGTACTGCGCATTATTTTCTGTCGTACTGCGATGCGCTATGACTGGTATTATTTCATCGACGTATGACTGTTTAATTGACTGGTTACAACGCTGTGCCAGAGAATTAATATCTAGTTTCAGATGATATATTGATATGTATCATATCATTGATAGTTCTCAACATTAGAAATGTTGAGAACTCTGAAGAAAACGATGGAGGAGATGCAGCATTATCGGGGAAACTTGCCTGTGTGTGTATGTGTGTTGAGAACTCTGAAGAAAACGATGGAGGAGATGTAGCATTGGCAGGGGAAACTCGGAGGGAAACTTGTCTGCGTTAAAGAAACTCCTGCATCAGTCACTCTATAAAGACACGGTTCGACAGTCGCTCTGTCAAAAGACAAGGTTCGACAGTAGCTTCCACATACAGTAAACCAAAATGTCCGATGTCGAAGTGAATGCTGTACAAGCAAATTATTACACGCCTGTTCAACATGCGGATGAGGATGAGGATCACCCCAGGTGGAAACAAAACGACGAGTATTTCGAGGAGCCACCATGCAAAATGGAACGTAAGAAGTGAGTATCAATGTGAATTTGGTTGATACTTTGTGTGCACTTTCCCGACCGAATTTTTAAATGTATATAACATTTACATTGTATTTTTATAGCATTCTTGAGCCATGTCATGCTACTTGTATCCTGGGGCGCAGATATGCTTTGACTGCAACGTCTCATAAGTATTTGGAAATTGGACTCAATGTACAATATCGACCCCACGCCGTCGTGGAAATAGTACTCGGCGACAATCGCGGTAATGAACTAATATTACATACAGACACTTGGGGAAAACTGATGGAAAATCGTGGTGCTGTACGACGACTTCTGGAAGCGCGCAACCCATCGTACTTTCCGCTACGGATTCAAAATTTAGGAGTGAAATTGTTCGAGCTAAATGGTGCAAGAATTGTAAAATTAAAGCAATCTTCTAAGTGTTTGTATTTGAGTCTTGCCACAATGAACAAGTTATTTACTTATCAATTTATCATATATATATACGCAGTTGTCTGAACAGTCGTATCTGGTTAGATCAAGAATTCTAACTTTTGTAAAAGTTCTTCGAGAAAAAAAATTACCGAAATGTGCTATACGGTAAAAGCGATACGTGAAAGCGCTGCCTTTGACAGCGAGTCACTTATTGATTGCGAGCTGTTGTCATGTGCTTCGAAAGGTATCTTGCACGAAGCTATGAGCTGTTT